ACATCAATTTGTATCTTTGTTATTTAGCGGAGTTAATCTAAACAGATTTTACATAAGCATAAAATAAATAGAAAACAGCAATGCAACAGATTTTTGCAGAATGCAATTAAGCAAACGATTCTGGCCAACTGAGTAATTGTGTAACTGTGGCTGTCATTATAGCAGAACAGTGAATTTCCTTTGGACCGGCAGCTGGAATAAACAATGCAAAACATTTGTGTATCAGCCACTGCATGTTGTTCTTCCTAAATTTCCTAATTTATCAAACATATCCCATATGTGGCAGAACAGCCTCCAGAATCACCAGGCTGATATTATTTTGTAGTGGTTGATCTCTCCCAATGGAACAGACTTTAGGTAATTTATTTATTTCAATACGTCAATTTACGCAGCGCTTTACTATATATATTGTACATTCACATCAGTCCCTAACCCTCAAGGGGTGTACAATCTAAGGTCCCTAACTCACATTCATACATACACATACTAGGGCCAATTTAGACAGGAGCCAATTAACCTACCAGCATGTCTTTGGAGTGTGGTAATAAAATTATGTTGCTTGATCTTAAACAAATAAATATTTATATGCAACAGGTTAATAGGGTTACATGTTTGGAGTTCTGCTTTAACCACTTGTCCATAGTTACATAGTTAGTCTGGCTGAAAAAAGACAAAAGTCCATCCAGTTCAACCATAAAGAAGAAAAAAAAAAAAGTTATAATCCTATACCCACAGTTGATCCAGAGGAAGGCAAAAAAAAACCAGCAAAGCATGATCCAATTTGCTCCTGCTGGGAAACAAAAACCTTCCTGATCCCTCGAGAGGCAATCGGATATTCCCTGGATCAACTTTACCTGTAAATGTTATATCCAGTTATATTCTGTGTATCTAAGAAAGAATCCAGGACTTTTTTAAAGCAATCCACTGAGCTGGCCAGAACCAACTCTTGAGGGAGTCTATTACACATTTTCACAGCTCTCACTGTGAAGAAACCTTTCCGTGTTTGGAGATTACATTTCTTTTCCTCCAGACGTAAAGAGTGCCCCCTTGTCTTCTGTGATGACCTCAGGGGGAATAGCTCTACGCCGAGTTCACTATATAAACCACTGATGTATTTATACATGGAGATCATATCCCCCCTTATGTATTATACATGGAGATCATATCCCCCTTATGTATTATACATGGTGATCATATCTCCCCTTATGTATTATACATGGAGATCATATCCCCCCTTATGTATTATACATGGTGATCATATCTCCCCTTATGTATTATACATGGTGATCATATCCCCCCTTATGTATTATACATGGAGATCATATCCTCCCTTATGTATTATACATGGAGATCATATCCCCCTTATGTATTATACATGGAGAACATATCCCCCTTTATGTATTATACATGGAGATCATATCCCCCCCCTTATGTATTATACATGGAGATCATATCCACCCCTTAAGTATTATACATGGAGATCATATCCCCCCTTTTGTATTATACATGGAGATCATACCCCCCCTTATGTATTATACATGGAGATCATATCCCCCCTTATGTATTATACATGGAGATCATATCCCCCCTTATGTATTACACATGGAGATCATATCCCCCCTTATGTATTACACATGGAGATCATATCCTCCCTTATGTATTATACATGGAGATCATATCCCCCCTTATGTATTATACATGGAGAACATATCCCCCTTTATGTATTATACATGAAGATCATATCCCCCCTTATGTATTATACATGGAGATCATATCCCCCCCCTTATGTATTATACATGGAGATCATATCCACCCCTTAAGTATTATACATGGAGATCATATCCCCCCTTTTGTATTATACATGGAGATCATACCCCCCCTTATGTATTATACATGGTGATCATATCCCCCCTTATGTATTATACATGGAGATCATATCCCCCCTTATGTATTATATATGGAGATCATATCCCCCCTTATGTATTATACATGGAGATCATATCCTCCCTTATGTATTATACATGCAGATCATATCCCCCCTTATGTATTATACATGGAGATCATATCCCCCCTTATGTATTATACATGGAGAACATATCCCCCCTTATGTATTATACATGGAGATCATATCCCCCTTATGTATTATACATGGAGATCATATCCCCCCCCTTATGTATTATACATGGAGATCATATCCCCCCCTTATGTATTATACATGGAGATCATATCCCCCTTATGTATTATACATGGAGATCATATCCCCCTTATGTATTATACATGGAGATCATATCCCCTCTTATGTATTATACATGGAGATCATATCCCCCCCCCCCTTATGTATTATACATGGAGATCATATCCACCCCTTAAGTATTATACATGGAGATCATATCCCCTCTTTTGTATTATACATGGAGATCATACCCCCCCTTATGTATTATACATGGAGATCATATCCCCCCTTATGTATTATACATGGAGATCATATCCCCCCTTATGTATTATACATGGAGATCATATCCTCCCTTATGTATTATACATGGTGATCATACCCCCCCTTATGTATTATACATGGAGATCATATCCCCCCTTATGTATTATACATTGTGATCATATCCCCCCTTATGTATTATACATGGTGATCATATCCCCCCCTTATGTATTATACATGGAGATCATATCCCCCCTTATGTATTATGCATGGAGATCATATCCCCCCTTATGTATTATACATGGTGAGCATATCCCCCTTATGTATTATACATGGTGAGCATATCCCCCTTATGTATTATACATGGAGATCATATCCCCCCTTATGTATTATACATGGAGATCATACCCCCTTTATGTATTATACATGGATATCATATCCCCCCTTATGTATTATACATGAAGATCATACCCCCCTTATGTATTATACATGGAGATCATATCCCCCCTTATGTATTATACATGGAGATCATATCCCCCCCTTATGTATTATACATGGAGATCATATCCCCCTTATGTATTATACATGGTGAGCATATCCCCCTTATGTATTATACATGGAGATCATATCCCCCTTATGTATTATACATGGAGATCATATCCCCCCTTATGTATTATACATGGAGATCATATCCCCCCCTTATGTATTATACATGGAGATCATATCCCCCATTATGTATTATACATGGAGATCATACCCCCCTTATGTATTATACATGGAGATCATATCCCCCCTTATGTATTATACATGGTGATCATATCCCCCCTTATGTATTATACATGGAGATCATATCCTCCCTTATGTATTATACATGCAGATCATATCCCCCCTTATGTATTATACATGGTGATCATATCCCCCCTTATGTATTATACATGGAGATCATATCCCCCCTTATGTATTATACATGGTGATCATATCCCCCTTATGTATTATACATGGTGATCATATCCCCCCTTATGTATTATACATGGAGATCATATCCCCCTTATGTATTATACATGGTGATCATATCCCCCCTTATGTATTATACATGGAGATCATATCCCCCCCTTATGTATTATACATGGTGATCATATCCCCCCTTAATCTCCTCTTCTCAAGAGAGAATAAATTCAGTTCCTCTAATCTTTCCTCATAGCTGATCTCCTCCATGCCTCTTATCAGTTTGGTTGCCCTTCTCTGTACTTTCTCCAGTTCCCCAATGTTCTTTTTGTGAATTGGTGCCCTTGTCCTCCTGAAGATTTACCCCCCTACCTGACCAGGCAATTTTTTGCGATACGTAGCTGCGTTCCTTTAACTGACAATTGCGCGGTCATGCAACACTGCATCCAAATTAAATTTACGTCCTTTTTTCCCACAAATGGAGCTTTCTTTCGGTGGTAGCTGATCACCTCTGTGTTTTTTATTTTTTTGCGCTATAAGCAAAAAAAGACTGACAATTTTGAAAAAAAAAATATTTTTGACTTTTCGCTATAAAACATATCCAGTAAAAAGATAGAAAAAGTCAAATTTCTTCATAAATGTATTCTGCTGCTTCTTTGCTAAAAAAACAAATCCAGAGAAGTGTAAATTAATTGGTTTGCGTGAAAGTTATAGCATCTACAAATGGAGGTGTATATACTGGAATTTTTTTTTTTTCTTATATTAGTAATGGCGGCAATCAGTGACTTATAGCGGGACTGCGGCAGGCATTCTGACACTGGGTGGGAAGTAACTAATAGCCACTGACATCTCCAGTGACACTAATACAGTGATCAGTGCTAATAAAAAGCACTGACACTGTACTAATGGCACTAGGCAGAAGGGGTTAGCATCTGGAGCGATCAAAGGGTTAACTATGTGCTGTTTTACTTGGGAGACAGGCTGCTTTGTATCAGAGAGATACAAAGCAGCATGTCCATGCTGACAGGAGAAGAGACCTGTGTTGTTTACACACAGCTCTCTCCCCTGTCAACTTTGCCGACAATCACCGAGTTCCAGCCGGGACCCGGTAATTGACATCCCCAGCCACCAATAGCGGCGTGGGTAGGGCAGCACGCACCCCCTACCTGGAAACGCAAATCATGTATATATGCATGATTTTGCGCAGCTGTGCCACCCTGTAGCAGTACTTCTGCTATAGGGTGGATGGCAAGTGATTTTAATACAGTGATTTCTTTTGATCGTCAGCTCCCTCTATTGGGCATAATGAGGTATAGCGGTATTTTTCCTGAGTGACGAGTTTAACCCTTTCGCTGCCACAGCCGAAAACAGACACCCTGGAGCAGGGGAATCTAAATTGTGGCAACATCCAGCCCTCTATGAGATTTTATTTGGCCCTCAGCTAGGGACGCTTGCGTACAGGGGCGGACTTACCATTTGGAAACTCGGGCACTGCCCGAGGGCCTGGGGTCAGTAGGGGGCCCCACGAGATGCCCGTTACCTTTTTCATAGGCTTTTTTGAGTTTGGGCAAGGACACAGGGGCCCCATGATCCCCTATTGCCCGGGGGCCCCATGAGTTGTCAGTCCGCCCCTGCTTGCGTATTCTCAGTGTACAGACTGAGGATTCAGATCAGTTGGCCGCTGCTTCTGATGGGGACCCTAATGTAAGGGGAGGGCACTGATTGGGACTTTGATTTAAGTGAGGACTCTAAAATCACCTTGGTGTAGGAGGGGACTATTATATGAGGGGAGAGGGGGGGGGCACTGCTATGATGAGGAGACTTATGAGGTAAAAGGGGGATTCTGATATGTAGTTATTTCTCGAGCTTGCTCATTCGTCTACATTTTTCTCATTTATTTATTAAACTGATTTTTTTTTTGCCTGTGAATATTTGGAAAAGATCCAATGTGGCCCTCAGATTTAAACATTTGAAGACCCCTGCACTAGAGAATAAAATAGTGGTAGTTCACACAATATTAGTACAACACTTTTTGAAATGAAAAAATTCAGTAAAACACACACTAAAGTTAATTTTTAGGTCACATTAACACAATATGTCACCCAATTTTTTGGTAAAAAAATAAAAGGTCGAGTAAATACTATTATACCAATAAATTTAACACGTCAAGCCTTAACAATTATACGTGCTCGTGAAACGGCGACACATTTTAGTACCTTATATTTTCCATAGGTGATGCTTGAAAACTCCTACAGGTCATTAGTTTAGAATGAACCATAAATAACGGGCCTAGAATGATTGCTCTCACTCCTGGTGATATGTGTAGTGCAATCAACGTTTTTCATTTTCCCCAACATTTGCATTTATGTTTGTACCAGGGGCGGACTGACCATTTGGAAACTCGGGCACTACCCGAGGGCCTGGGGTCAGTAGGGGGCCCCATGAGATGCCCCTGGTACCTTTTTCATAGGCTTTTTGAGTTTGGGCAAGGACACAGGGGCCCCATGGTCCCCTATTACCCAGGGGCCCCATGAGTTTTCTGGTTTGTACATCTGTGTAGTTGGGGGTGGAGGGCTCAAATAGTTTTTCTTTGGGGGGGGGTATTTTAATTGTTTGGGTGTAACTTTAATTTTTTACATTTTTTTTACTTTTACTAAAAAAAACCTTTTTTTACTTTTTTTTACTAAACTTTTTTTTTCATCACATAAAGGACAAAAAATCCACTTTGTGATGCATTTTTTGGTGACACGCTCTCTTTAATGAGCCTTCAGGGGTATAAAAGACCCCTGATGTCTCATCAATAAAACTAATGTAGCACAGATCTCACTGCATTCGTTTCTTTTTCAGCCATACTGGCTTTGGAAGTGACACTGGGACCCAGAAAGTGATGTCTTACACATTGCTTCTGGGTCATTAGCTGGAAGGGGAGATCAACGAATGGGTGTTTGCTGATCTGACTCCCATCTTGCCAGTCTGGGGTCTGTTAAATGACATGCGGAGCCCAGGAAAAGTTTCAGGGGGTGTGGGCGAGGGGTGGGAGTACCAGGGTGCATTAAAGTGATTCAGCGGGTGCACAGCCACTGGATCACCTCCATCTGACAGCCAATAGTTGGATTGTCAGATTTATGCACACTCATTTCCCTGAAAGCTCCGATATTTTACATATGACGGTAGCAGTAAAAAGGGTTAAAATAGAAAGAAGGAAAAGGAAGAAAAGGAAAAATATCATATTATGGCCCTAGATGGAGCTGACGATAATATGAGATCACTGTATTAGAGTACCTACACTCTGGACGATGGAGCACAGGGGGGAACATTTGGACAGCAGCATTGTCAGTCTGGAGGGAGGAGATTGTTAGATGGACTAGCAGATTTAGATACAGTAACAAATTGGAGCTGAACTCCACCTCACACATTATAAGCAGTTACAGTAAACAGTTTTTTCTACCAGGGTCACAAAAGTGACAGGACCCTAGTGTTTCGCCACCGGGGGGCCTTTCCTGGTTTCTTGCACCGGGGCCCTGAAGGTTCTAGTTACACCTCTGGATAAAGGTTTCACATAAATAAATAAAAGTTGATCATTGCAAGCACCCCTGTTAGTAGCAAATGGTTTGTCTCATCCCTGTCACAGCCACATCTGCAAGAGAGCTTGTTCTTTTGAAAAACAACAGATTTAATGACCAGATCACCAGGTGAAAATAGTGGAAAAAAAAACTTAAAAAAGAAAATGAATGCAGCCATCACATGTAAGAATTGGTAAGCTTCTCAAGAGCCTCTCCCATCCTCTGGAACTCCCTACCCCAGTATGTCTGGTCAGCCCCCACCCTGTCAGCCTTTAGGTGTTCTTTGAAAACTCACCTATTCAGGGAAGCCTACCCCACCACCACCTAAGAACTGTACTTGAGTCACCTCCACCAGATCATCCCCCGCAGCTATCATTTTTTATATCACCTCCCCCTTTAGATTGAAAGCTCCTCGAGCCGGGCCCTCATATTCCTTCTGTACTGAAATGTATTGTAATTGTACTGTCTCCTTTATATTATACTAACATTTATAGGTAAAGTTGATTCAGGGACTATCCGATTGCCTCTCGGGGGATCAGGAGGGAATTATTTCCCCTGCAGGAGCAAATTGGATCATGCTTTGCTGGGTTTTTTGCCTTCCTCTGGATCAACTGTGGGAGTAGGATTATAACTTTTTTTTTTCTATGGTTGAACTGGATGGACTTTTGTCTTTTTTCAGCCAGAATTACTATGTAACTATATATTATAAAGCTCTGTGCAAACTGTTGGTGCTACATAAATCCTGTACAATATAATAATAAGCTGCAATATACCGTAATTTGATTGATGTTTGATTTTGAGTTTATTACCACTATAATGCTAGTGGTAGACATAGACTACATCATATATATCTTTTTTGTAAAAGATGGTGTAGCGCTGTATGTGCTATAATTAAATTAAATGATGTCAAACCATATTATTGTGAATAAATGATATAACCCTGTGTATACTCATTAACTTAATATTATTATTATTATTATTATACAGTATTTATAAAGCGCCAATAGTTGGCTCAGCGCTGTACATTACAAAGGGGGACAGAACATGTGACAGAACAATACCAATACAATGCAAAACATGAGAGGATTGAGGGCCCTGCTCTTTCGAGCTTACAATCTAGGAGGGAGGGGTTGGTGGTACAGGAGGAGATAGCTGTGGGGGATGGAGTGGTAGGAAGAGTGGAGGAGGTCGGCAAGTTAGCAGGGGGTGGGGTAGGCTTCCCTGAAAAGGTGGGTTTTCAGGGTGCGCCTAAAGGAGAAGAGAGTAGGTGATAATCTGATGGGTTGGGGCAGGGAGTTCCAGAGGATGGGTGACACCCTGGAGAAGTCCTGGAGGCGGGCATGGGAGGAGGAGACCAGGGAACTAGAGAGAAGGAGGTCTAGTGAGGAGCGGAGTGTGCGTGCTGGGCGGTACTTGGATATTAGGTCAGTGATGTAGTTCGGGGCAGTATGGTGGACAGCTTTGTACGTCAGTGTTAGGATTCTGAATTTGATCCGTTGCGCAATCGGAAGCCAGTGGAGGGATTGGCAGAGGGGTGTGGCGGAGATGGAGCGGTTGGAAAGGTGAATGAGTCTGGCAGCCGTATTCAGGATGGACTGAAGCGGGGATAGCCAGTGGCGAGGCAGGCCAGTGAGGAGGGAGTTGCAGTAGTCGAGTCGTGATATGATGAGGGAGTGGATGAGCTGTTTAGTGGTTTCTGGGGTTAGGAACGTGCGGATTTTGGCGATGTTACAGAGGTGGAGTCTGCATGAGTTTGTTAAAGATTGGACTTGGGGCTGGAAGGATAGGTTGGAGTCCAGAATGACACCAAGTACTCTGGCCTGCGGGGCGGGTTTCATTGGTGGCGTTGTTGGATGTGATGGAGAAGTCAATGGGGGGGGTGGTGTCTGGGCTGGGGGGAAGACAAGAAACTCGGTTTTGGAGAGTTTCTTGTCTTCTTGTCTAATAGAAATATAAGGTGTAGTATAATCCAACAAATAGATAATAATTGCAATCAAAGTGACCAAATGTTATATTGTGACATACATAAATTGCAAAAAGTCCCAAAAGTGAAAAAATTAAATGCACAAAAATAAAAGTAAAAAATATAACATTCAGATTTTTCAATTCTTCAACTTTATATTGCGTGCTCATATAAATGGTGCCGATCTATCCGTCACCTTCTGGTGTGTGCACTCACCTCACAAATTCGACCCTCAAGGAGTCATAGAGCAATCAACATCACCGGATGATCCCAGGCTGGATGGATCTCTCCCTTTAAATGGACACAGGAACAGCTCCCACCGAAATCAAACACACCTTTAGGGAGTCTTCAAATGGCTCAAAAAGAAGTCAGAAAAAGAACATCCATAGTGTAGTAATTATGATATTTATTGGTAAAAAATTCAATGCCAAAAAGGCTACTCACAATAAAAACAAGGGTCACAGACCCATCAAGCATGTACTGTGTAACCCACAGTCAGGTGTACATACAAGGAGTCCCAAGATGGTGATTGCCATCCATACATAATGACGTCACCACGCTCTACTCCGACGCGTTGCGTCACGCTACCACATGTGATTTTGCCTAATGTTCCTTTAATGCTGAAAGTTCCATTATGTGCTGAAAGTTCCATTATGTAACATGGAGCGTGGAGTTGTCATTAACAGGCACTATTCTGGATAATGAACACAGATTTCGAAGTTTACATGCAAAATAGTTTCATAATTATCAGACACCTGTAACACATTTGCTGGAGTTCACATATATGAAAACAAAAGAATTGTTTGCACAACATTTTAGAAGTAATACCAATTCCTGCCATTCCCAGTATACCTCATTATTATGGAATACAGGTTGAAGGAGAGCTGATGGAGAAAAGTTTCAGACTCTGATTTGTTATGTAAAGGAGATCTGTCATATAAAATCACTGTCACTTGTATGAACGGAAAGTGAAAGACGACATTTTTAGTATAAATGTTATTATGGTTCAGGTAACAAGTCCTGACATAATCTCTACATTTATGACCTTCTTGTTATCCTTCCTTCTAACAACGTCATGTTCCCTCTAGAAGAAACCATCTAGTGAGTGGAATTCTTTTTTTATTTTTTACTTTATTATTTATTAGCTCCTAGACTACATGAACAATTAACTGTTCCAGTGTACGGGGAAGAGGGGGCACTGCAAGGGTGGATTTTTTTCATTTTCATGGAGTTGGTCTTTCATGCTAACAGTTCATGTGTTCAAGGCGGTATGGTGGTACCATTACAGTCACTATTCTGGATAATGAACAAAGACTTCAAAGTCTGCAGGCAAAATAGTTACATAAATATCAGACACCTGTAATACATTTGTTGAAGTTCTCATATGTGGAAACAAAAGAGTTATCTGTACCAGGGGCGGACTGACAACTCATGGGGCCCCCGGGCAATAGGGGATCATGGGGCCCCTGTGTCCTTGCCCAAACTCAAAAAAGCCTATGAAAAAGGTACCAGGGGCATCTCATGGGGCCCCCTACTGACCTCGGGCCCTCGGGCAGTGCCCGAGTTTCCAAATGGTCAGTCCGCCCCTGATCTGTACATCATTTTAGAAGTATTGCAGATTCCAGTCGTTCCCAGTGAGCCTCATTATTATGGTATACAGGTATAGAGAGAATTGATGGAGAAAAGTTTCAGACTCTGATTTGCTATTTAAAGGGCATCTGTCATATAAATCACTGTCACTTGTATGAACAGAAAGTAAAAGGTGACATATTCTTGGAAAAAATGTTAATTTCGTTCGGGTAGTAAATTCTGACATAAAAACTGCATTTAATACCATCTGGTTCTCCTGCTGTCTGACAACGTCATGTTGCCTCTGGATGAAACCATCCAGTGTGGAGAACTCATTTTTCAACTTGATCACTTCCTTTATGTGTGAAACATCAGTAACTGCAGTGGATATGTTGCATCTCTATTGGAGACCAGACACCACTTTTTTCACCTTTGTTCTTTGAAGTGACGTTTTAAAGCATG